TGAAAGCGCGATGATATGATACCATGATGAAAACACGATGGCACGATGATGAAACATCGACGGCACGATGGTGAAATCAAGTTGATGAGATGACATTATGAAAATAATATAACGCGTCCTCATCATCGTGCCATCGCAGTTTCATCATAGTATTATCGTTCTTTCACCATCGTACAATCGGTATTTTCATCATCCTAACATCGTGTTTACACCATCGCACCATCGCGTATCATCGTGCATTCGTCATTGTAACATCGTACCATCATTGTTTCAGCATCGTACAATTGTTGTTTCACGTTCGTACCATCGTGTTTTTACCATCGTACCATTGTGCCATCGGGCTTCGTAAACGGCATTCCGTTTGTTTCAGTGTATGCCTTCAGGTTCAGCCAATCAAATTTCTTGAATTAGAGATATAAGAATTATATTTCATAAAAAAAGCGTAAGTAAACATATTGATGATAGAACTTTGACATGAAGTCGAACGGCGAACCTCGATTCTAAAAAAAATAATAAACATTCTGCAGTGGAAAAAAAATGTGACAAATAATTCATTATAAATGACATGAGACAAATGTGCTTTTTTGTCCCTTGAGAACATTTGACAAATGCGTTTTTTTCCGTTAAAAAACTTGATCGGAGCACATATGCATTTGTCACACAAATTACTTTTTTGGGGTAGACATTTGAGGTCCAATTTGACTCATGTGGGACAAATGCGACCTCATCGGTCTAATGGAAGACAAATGCTACGAGACAAATGTGCTCCTACAATTCTTTCTATTTATATGAAATACGGGAGTTCTTTGGGTTTTGATTAGTCTTATGATAATGTTATGGCACTTAAGACCTTGATACAGTGTGCCAGTCTCATATTGACAAAAATGTACAAAAAAAAAAAAAAAAAATAGAAGACAAAAAAAATCGGAAATAGATTATTGCAATGAATAAATGATAATATTTTCCATTTTACATGGTTTAATTCAGCTTCATGTCATCCCGAAAAAGGTGAGAAAGTGAATTCTGAAAAAGTCGACCGTATTAAATACGTTAAAAACGATAACGGAAATACAAGTGACGAAGATGGTAGTTTCAGAAGCACAGATGACTGGATTGATTTAAACACCGATGAAACAAATCAATGCCTACAGAATCTGCCACAGCCGGCCTTAATCCTGGTATATACTTGTTGCGTGTTATTTACTACATAAACAGTATTGAGATAATATGAACCTCACGTTTACGACCATCAAAATAAAATTGTTACTATGTAAAGGAACTTCATAGAAACATACGAGAAAATGAATTCTGTTGAAGAGATATAATTTTCTTACAACACTGTTACACAACCTTTCCTTTCAACCAGATAAATCTGGTAAATATATAATATTATTCTTAATCTGAATATTTTATGATTCAGAATTGCAAAGATTCGGACAAAACGAGACGGGAGTCAAAGCGAACACACTTTACCGGTAAATAACTTTTATAAAAATGAAACTTATAATGTTTTTTAACTTAAATGTTAAAACTTATATGGGTATTGCATACGAATTCAAATTGATACTTGATTGCCATCTTAAAGAGAAAATCTCATATCAATTAAGTTTTTAACCTTGTTAAAAGTACATGAAACATACTTCTGTTGTTTGTTTTCAGGATCCAAATTCCCTCACAACTACTCAAAACAAGGAAAATCGAGAAAAGCCCGGAAATGATTTATTAAATAAGTCTATGATTGAGTCAGTTTTGTTGTTGTGTCAAATTCATATTTTCAAAAATAGGTTATGTGATGCCAATGTACGCATAGATCTGATAAGATAATTTTAAAGTCTACCTTTGTTACGAGTCGTAAAATATTTGATAGAGAAGTTAAAAAAACTAAACGTTTTTATTGGTATTCACTGCAGAATGACCTATTGAATGATTGTAAGGTAGATAGTACTTCATTTTGGAAATCTATTGGTAAAATTGGTGTAGATTTTTCAAAAATCATAATATTTAGACTTCCGGTGAAAACATTCATAATATAAACAAAGGAAAAAATGTAATGAAATAATTAAACCTGGGTAAATCTGATAACGGCAGGTGTTCCAAACAATTGTAACAATGGTCTTATAAGCAACGTAAAACATTGCAGGAAGAATTTGACTTTATAAAAACAGATCCGTGATATATCCATGGAAATTAAGTATTCGAAATTATCCGAAATTATCCGAAATTTTAACAGTGTGCATTTATTGTGAGTCGATACCAAATTACCAATGTATCATAATATAATAAATGAAATATGATGCATAATGTACTAAATGGATCGTGAGAAAAATCGAACGACTAGAAGAGAGAAAATTGCTGCATCCCATGATAAAAACAGAAGAAGGTCATCCTCAACAAAAAGAAAAGTTACTTCACCATCCTATAGTCAAAACATTGATAAGAAACACAAACATAATACATATAGCTTAGACAACCTAGATATAGTCAACAGTGACACTTCTTATAACTACACCATTAAGGACAAAGACACAGACAACACAATTAACGCAGAAAATATGAGCTCAACAGTTAAATGTGCACTTAATCCAACAATGGCAACCAGTGCCCCTCACTTAATCCATCAAATGCCAGAGCACTTAGTCCATACTACTTCTCCTGGAAGTTTCTTAACAGATGTTGATATTGTCAGGATATTTAATGCTTTGAAATTATCAATGGCAGAAAAAAATCAATGGTATGGTCTCAATGCATGTACAGATAGCAACAGAGCAATAAAGAGAGGACATAAGTGATCTGAAAACGGAAGTTGAGTCACTTAAACAGAAGCACAAGAAATCAAAAATGAAGCAAGATGATGCTGAGCAGTACTCCAGAAAAAAGTGTAAGAATAAGTAATTACAAAGAAAAGTCAGATGAAGGAACTTCACAGATTGTTGTTGACATTGCAAAAAAAAAGTAAATGTTTCAATTGATAGAGATGATATAGATAACTCTCAAAGAGTTGGGGAGAAGAAAGATGGTAAAGAAAGAGAAATAATAGTAAAATTCAAGTCATTTAGATCAAAATTAGAGTTCATGAAATTAAAAAAGGAATTGAAAACCAAGAATGAGAAAATATTAATCAATGATGACCTTACAAAAAAAAGAAGTAAAATAGCTTATGAGGCAAGGGAGTTGAAAAAAGATCCAGCATCAGATGTCAAGGGAACATGGGTGTATAATTGTTGTATCTATATTCAAACTAAAACAACTGGTGAAAGAGTGAAATTAACTACCAAAGAAGAATTAAAATGTATAGAAAGTGAATATTAAATGAGAAACTGCGAAAAGTGATGTTAAAGGACTATAAACATTTATTGAGCTCAAAAATGCTAAGTTACAAGTTTAAGTGTATTGAGTGTTATTATTTAATCTCATATCTATCTATATGTACTTTAATGTCTATAGTCACAAGATTATAAATACATGCTCTGCCAATAAGTATGTTTCCTATGTGTATGTTTGTGAAATAAATTCATAATTAGACTGGCGTAAATACATGAAACTTATTTAAATGTATGTATATATGTAAATAAATTTTGCTGTAAATATTTTCATATGTTAATAAAACATAAATCATTACATACAAGCTATGAAAATCATTTTGAGAATAACAAACATATCTATCTTCATGACTATGAACATACTAAAATATCTATATGCCTTAACACATATACTTTTTGTAATTAATCAAAGAATTAAAAATATATACGACCTTTCCCATGTGGATCCTGTTAAGATTATTACATATATACCGGGTCTCATTGAAACTTAAACAACAAGAGCCATGTCAACATGGCCATCCCCCGCCGAATGTGTTTGCTCATTGGAAGAATGTATATGTAGTAGAGCAGAATAACTTCATTTTAAGAGGTCTTTTGGTAATGAAAACTGATGGCTATAGTGATTACAGATTTGAAAACTATGTGAATACTGATGGCTGAAAATAACAAGGACAATAACTGAAAAATAATGCAGGGTAGGTTATCATTCTTGTGTGCTGCATCCCTCCTCAGTAAAATCTATCCACCTATGAAGTTTCAAGTTGATACCTCAAATACTTTTAAGAAAAAATTGAATTGAAAAATTAAGTATGAAAAATAACAAAGGGCAATAACTCAAAAATTATAAAAGGTAGAGTTATCATTCTTATGCACTGCACACCTCCTTAGTTAGATCTATGCACCTATGAAGTTTCATAATGATATCTCAAAGGCTTTTTGAGTTATGCTCTGGACAAAAATAATTGTGAAAAATAACAAAGGGCAATAACTAAACACTTATGCAGGGTAGAGTTATCGTTCTTGTGCACTGCACTCCTCCTCAATGAGATCCATCCAGTTATGAAGTTTCAAGTTGATACCTCAAATAATTTTTGAGATAAGCTCCGGACAAAATATTATGAAAAAAAAACAAAGAGGAATAACTCAAAATTGTATAGGGAAGAGTTATCATTCTTGTGCACAGCATTCCCCTCAATAATATCTGTCCACCATGACATTTCATGTTGACATTTCAAACACTTTTGAATTATGCTCCACTCGGGTGAAAAATTAAGTATGAAAAATAACAAAGGGCAATAACTCAAAAATTTTGAAAGGTAGAGTTATCATTCTTGTGCACTGCACACCTCCTGAGTCAGATCTATGCACCTATGAAGTTTCATGTTGATATCTCAAAGGCTTTTTGAGTTATGCTCTGGACAAAAATAATTGTGAAAAATAACAAAGGGCAATAACTAAAAAATTATGCAGGGTAGAGTTATCATTCGTGTGCACTGCACTCCTCCTAAATGAGATCCATCCAGCTATGAAGTTTCAAGTTGATACCTCAAATACTTTTTGAGATAAGCTCAGGACAAAGTAGCATGAAAAAGAACAAAGGGCAATAACTCAAAAAATGTATAGGGAAGAGTTATCATTCTTGCGCACAGCATTCCTCCTCAATAAGATCTATCCACATATGACATTTCATGTTGATCTCTCAAAATGATTATACGTAATGATAGCAAAATAACACATAACAATATCACCGCCGTTACAGACGTCTTAACTATTCAAATATAGTTTTTGTAGAACACTGATAACTGAAAATATTGACACAGATATGTGGGCGTCAAAGAGTTCACAATCCAGAACCATGAACGTAATACAAAGCATTAAGTCAACAGATAAAATTTTCTAGGCCGTCTGTACATTTGCCAAAATATATGCACTGTTTAAAAGAGTATGATATGAATTTGCAGTCAACACTTGATTCTCATTGTACATGTACAATCAAACTTTGTTTCAATACTTATATATATCGGATATGTTTGAATATGCGTTCATGTTAGGTGAACAAATGTTGGTTAAAATCAAGGTCAAATAAACCTCGTTAACTTTACACTTAAGAGGTCACAAATTGAAAAAAAAAAAAAAAAAAAAAACCCAAAAAAAACCCAAACCCCCCCATAAAACCCGACAGTATCATAAAACTAAATTTTCAACGAAAAGCGTTAAACGAGAGGCTGCATATCCGTATCTTTCTCATTAGAAGGTTATTTTTCAACAAAGATCATTTTTGACTTTCCGATGTGTGATATAAACACTAACATTAGAGCACGTGAGTCCATAGCCTCGTTACCCCTCTGAAGGTTACAATTTTGATTTCATCAGTTTTTATTACAACGCTAAGACATGTAATGTCATCTTTGAAAATATCTAGGTTATCAAGTCAAATAATACTCATAAATTACAATTTTAACACGCTTCACGTCACAATTTTTGATGTCATATTAGTCAAACGTATTTTTTTTCAATAATGACAGGTTATGCCATCGTTCAAAAAGTTAAACACGTAGTGGAGTAAAAAAGGCGCTTTAGTGCATACAGTTATAACTTGATCGTTATCTCCAATTGTTAGTATATTTGTTTTAATTATATTCCTGTCTTTTTTCGAACACTGCTCCTCTTTGTTCGAACATTTGTTGATCAGCTTAAGGGAACAGTCGTAATTTTATCCTTTTCAAACTCTGTCAATGTTATTTATTGAAGGATTAGATTTAGGATTTGGATATCGGTAATATTAATCTAAAAATAGGTCAGAAAGAAAAACTTAGATTAGATAAGAAAATTCATTAAAGGGAGTTAACGCTAAATAAAATCAGACACAGTTATTATTCGTGATCACTGGCACACTGGAAATCCGAAAATTGTCGTGCTTTTAAACGATTCATCAGCAAATTACAAAGAAAGTCACGCCAGAAAGAAGAACATCGTATAGGTTTAGGTCTTAAGTGTGGTCAAAATTTTTTAATGTGCATAAGGAAAAAATATCATGAAATAAACACTGTTTTAATTGACAAACTATTTTTAGAAAATGAATGATAATTTTTTTCATTTATGGAGAACATGTCAGAAGGCACCGACTATAACGTTCATAATTTCAAATTATATAATTTGAAAAGAAAAAGTAAAGAGAAAAGGGTTAGAAGAAAAAGCGGGATATTATTATCATATCAACGAGCCTGCTCACAAACCTTTTCTTCACACATGGAAACATCGTTTTTATTTAAAAGAACATAGCCATGCACAAACACGTCCTTGACCTCGATTGCGTTTCATTATATGTATATGTTTCAATGTCCAATAATGATAGAATATTCGAAAGCCAAAAGGCGCCAAACTTAAGAATACACGGTTATTTAAATTGGGATGGTACCGTTTATATTGTCACATATTCTCACGTTCATAGACAATACATTTGATTGGTTTTCTAGCTAAGGTATGCTTCTGAAAAAAGGTAGGACGGGAATGCTGCTTTAGGGAATATTAGCGACTGAATCATTTTGTTACATTTTCACATGCAATGCTAACAAACTAAAGACACATTGTACAACATCCGAGAATACAACAGCGTTGAGAGATAAATATTGTTTGAATAACAGAAACCTTTATACTCTATCAATATTTAATCTAAAAGCAATATATATCACCATTACAGCAAGGAAACAGAACCTTAGTTCATATCCGTTCATAAAATGACAATTTAAAGATACCGTTTCTGGATTGATTTACTTCAAAATATTCTATTATTAATTTCAGTAAAACAGCTTTTAATATACTTAAGTCCCAACATAGGACATTGTATGCAATACTACGCATCAAATTTAACGTAATTCAATACCTTTAGTCATAAGATTGTATGATAAATTTACCGCTTGCAGGAAATCGATCTATGGAAGGGTATTAACGCAAAAATTACATCTTGCTTTCTAACGTTACATCGTGCTTTCTAACAGCTGGAAATATAATTTATATAATATTATTGACCCACAGACTTGCTGACGAGAAGAAGTGATCATAAGACATTAACTAGAAACTATGTGCTATTATTTCAACATACTAGGTTATAAATAAACACTTTGTTTTGGTGAAAGATAACTTATTGAAAGTGATATTTGAAATTACTCTTGGGAGTTGTTTTGTATAATTAGAGTTTCAGTAATAAATACAAATATTGCTTAAACAGTTTTGTATATATGTTTACCTTATTTCCTACATGATAGTGGAAATGGAAATTTTAAAACAAAGGGAAGTAATTTTGTTAACTGAATCCGAACCGCAATACGGACTTTATAGAGAATATAACTGTAGTGCCACCTATTAGCAGAATTAGGATGTCACATATTATTACACCAGATGTCACGTCGTATTATTCTTGCTGCATTCGGCTTTCGGCTATGCGTCATTATACTTTATGAAATTCGTCATTCAAGCTGAGTAAATAGACCCAAATACAAACAGTTGCAGGTTAACTTATTGAATTAATATACCAGATCAACAAATGAATAATAATTGATCGTTAAATAACGATATAAACATACAATTAAGCAAGACGCAC